GTATTGTTGTAGGGTATCACATGGTCGGCCCCGTACGACTATAGCCGTTGCTTACTTGTTTTTCATATGAAATTGTTCTGAATACCAACCGACTCGACACGGGGGGAAATGAGTGAAAATAGGTTTAATCCCCCGGTCAAAAACCAAAGGTAATATATGTGCAGGACTGTATGGAATTATTTTAAAAAAATCTATCAAAATCGGAGGTGTTCCCATGTATTGTAAGGAGGTGTCCCCATATATTGTAGTGTTGTCGGTCGGCCCTGTATGATTATAGCATTTACTTACATGTTTGACATGAGTTGCTGCAATGCCATAAATAATTGAGATATTGATTGTTTAAAAAATGGGATTTTTGTCTCGAGCTCATTGTAACCTAACTATATATTTATCTCTCTCCCTCTCTACATATCTGTCATTAGAAAAATTTAATCTTAAATTATTCCAACCATTGAAAAATGCTTTATTTATATATAATTTATTTAGTCTCGGTAATTTGCCACAGAAGAGTTGTGTTCTTAATTTACCAATCAGGATAAAATGTGAAACCACCAACAATTTTCGTACCCAATGTAACTCAGTTTCATAATTTCCATATTTGATATTTGAAATTTTACAATAAAATATATCTTCATTTTCAATTAAAATTACGAAATCTTTCATCCTTAGCCTATTGTCGTTAAGACAATACAAAGCCACAAAGATTTAGTAGATTTTATCCTGCAGTGAAAATCCAATTGATTTTGCCATCTTATCAAGACACATTAAAAGTGTACAACTACCACTAGACAATATGTATTCTGCAATCTCTCTCTCTCGGCATTGACAAAGTCTTTTCAACGAATTACAAGACTTTTGTTGAAAATTCCCATCTTAAAATCACACTATCAACCATCCATTCAGATGCCAGAAGAAAACTACTCCACTACTCGATAGTGACGGCATTGAGTGTTGTTGGCCAGCCAGTATTACTTAAACTTACACCACAACCACTACCACCAGGAGTAGCAACAACAAGAAATAAATCATTGGAATTGTCTAGAAGATTGTTCGAATGAAACAATAGACTTGCATTGTTCGGGTGTTGAGTAATCTCGCTTTTCTACAGAGAAACTTTGACAATACCAAGAAGTTCAAGTAGTTGTTTGATTTATTTCTGAGAATTGTTAAATTCATTTAAATTGTGTTAGTTATCTCAATATGTTTCTCAATTAAACATTTTGCAACTTGGATTTCGAAATCAACTATCAAGGCTGTAAAGTGAAGATTTAAAAACGATAAGAAATTTAACAAAAGTTTTTGTTTGCTAAGGCCGTTTGTAAGTTTCAACAAAGCATTCCTCCTTTTTTATTGTTGCAAAATGTTGAAAGTAATCCTCTTTATATAGGTGAGACAAAATCTACAATATCCTGTAAAGGTTTTAAACACAGGGTGAGATGAAAAAAAAAATGCAACCAACTTCAGACTGCTGTCATTTCTAAGCCTCGTCTGACAGCTGTTGTAATTATTCCAGTGACAGCTCATTATATCGTTTACAAACGTACAAAAGAATTTTGGTGAGAATTTTCCAGAAAAAACAGTTATTCGTGACGGAATTCAAGAGTGATAGTGTGATTTCTTTGTATTTGGCTGGAAAATCACAAGTCGCTATCGTTAGAGTACCCCGGCATTTAAATGTGAATAAATCGTTTGTGCTTCGTAACATCGCTCGTTACCGTGATACTGGTAGTGTAGCCCGACGTCAAGGAAGTGGACGGAAGAAAACAGCAACATCAGCAGAAACGGTTCGAAAAATAAAGAAGCGATTTGGTCGAAAAATGGCTCTTGAGCTAAACATATCGCAAATATTCCATTCGCAAATATCGAATAATGAACTCGGGATAAAGCCATTGAAATTCCAAAAAAATGCAAGAACTTAAACCGAAACAGAATGAAAATAGACTCAAAGGAGCTTAAGAGTTGTTTCGCTTGGCCGAAAGTGGTGAACTGCCGAATTTGGTTTTCTCCACTCCGATGAGAAAACATTCGTTGTCCAGCAGTTTGTAAACAAACAAAATTATCGTGGTTACTTGCCAAAGAGCTCAGCTGAAAATGTGCACCTTCGGTTGGCCATCAGAACTCAAGCGCTGGCCATGGTGATGGTGTGGGTCACTCTGTGGAATTAATTGAACGTCGCATCAGAATAAATGCCGAATATTATCGTGAAAATATTTACGAGGGATCATTAAAGCCTTGGGCACGAAAACATTTTGGCCGTAGACCTTGAACATTCCAACAGGACTCAGCACGCGCCACCCAAGAATGGTTACAAAATGAGGTTCCTCGCTTCATTTTCAGTGCACAATGGCTACCAAAATCTTCGAATACCAATCCGTTGGACTATTGTGTCTGGAGTATTTTGGAAAGCAAGGTTGGCACTAAAAAATACCAAAGTGTCGATCACCTCAAGCAAGCGCTACGCTGGTAATGGACCAAAATACCGCAGAGCAACAATCGGGCAGCGAGTGACGGTTTCATTGGCCTTTTGAAGGCCATAATTTGTGCCAAAGGTGACCGATTCAAACAAACCTGAACTTATTTTAAAATTTAATGCTGTTTCCGACATTTTTTGCTTCCACTCAATAAGATTTAAGCAAGTTAAAAAGCAGTAAGTTTTTTCGTGCCGAACTTTTAATACCCTTTACCATTTGGAACGAATTTGGGAATTTTCAAAAAATAAAATCCATTAAAAATTCCGTTAAACTCTTAAAAATACCGAATATAGCCGTTATATTGGGGTCTATACGACGTGGACCTACATAGGCCTTGTTTGTCATAAGTCATTACCATATTCAAATTCGAAATTTGAAATAAACGGTGAACAATGTAGCTAAAATCATCAAAATACGGTATATGGGAAGGTACCATTATATCGGAACTATGCGAAGACCTGGACCTGCATAGACAATTTTCTGCCACTGGCTGTAGCATCCATTACGAACTTCAAATATGACATCTCAAATAATTTTGATGAGTATTGTGCTTAAAATCGTCAAAATACCGAATATAGGGAGGTACTGATATATGGGACCTATACGAAGACCTGGACCTGCATAGACAATTTTCTGTTTTAGGCTGTGGTATCCATTTCGAACTTCAAATACCAAATTTGAAACAATTCCATTGAATAATGTCACTAAAACCGTCAAAATACCGAATATAGGGTGGTACTGATATATGGGGCCTATACGAAGACCTGGAGCTGCATAGACAATTTTCTGTCATATACTGCAATATCCATTACGAACTTCAAATACCAAATTTTAAACAATTCCGGTGAATAATGTCGCTAAAAAAAAGTCCATTACGAACTTCAAATATGACATCTCAAATAATTTTGATGAGTATTGTGCTTAAAATCGTCAAAATACCGAATATAGGGAGGTACTGATATATGGGACCTATACGAAGACCTGGACCTGCATAGACAATTTTCTGTTTTAGGCTGTGGTATCCATTTCGAACTTCAAATACCAAATTTGAAACAATTCCATTGAATAATGTCACTAAAACCGTCAAAATACCGAATATAGGGTGGTACTGATATATGGGGCCTATACGAAGACCTGGAGCTGCATAGACAATTTTCTGTCATATACTGCAATATCCATTACGAACTTCAAATACCAAATTTTAAACAATTCCGGTGAATAATGTCGCTAAAATCACCCAAGTACCGAATATCGGGAGGTACCGTTATATGGGGGCTATACGAAGACGTAGACCTACATGGCCCATTTACGAACTTGACCTGTCTACTGGCAAAATAAACATGTGTGCACAATTGTAGCCTTCTACCTCAATTCGTTCGAAAGTTATCGTGATAACGGACATCGCTTAATCGACTAAGAATTTTACGCTGATCAAGAATATATATACTTTGTTGGGTCTGACATGAGTATTTCGAGGAGTTACAAACGAAATGAAAAAAAGAATATACCCTCCATAGCATGATGGGGGTATAAAAAAATCTAAAAATTATGGCGCTTGACTTTCTTGCAGTTTTTTTTTCACCCTGTACATTTAGAATTTTTATACCCTACACCACAAGGTGGTCAGGGTATTATGTCTTTGTGCATTTGTTTGTAACAGGCGAAAGGAAAAGAGATATACCCATAGTTCCTTTTGATGATCTGCATAGAATCACATTCTGAGTCGATTTATGCATGTCCGTTTGTCCATGTATTTTTGTAAACAAAGTACAGTTCGCATTTGTTGCCCTATCCAGATAAAATTTTGCACAAATCATTTGTTTGGCCCAAGGACGATTCCTATTGAAATTGGAGATAATCGGTCAAAATTTAGATATAGCTCCCATATATATCTTCGTCCGATTTGCCTTTTATTGTGCACCAAACGTGTAATATCAGTCTGAATAGTATGGAATTTTGCACGTATGATCAGATTGGACCTCAAAATAAGTATGCCAAATTTAATCGAAATCCGTTCAGTTATAGCTATAGCTCCCATGTATACTGTTCATCCGATTTGTCAGTCGTAATATGCACTCCGTAACGACGATATTCAGGGAAATATATCAAATACAGCTCAGAAATATATTTGCAAAATTTTATCGAAATCGGTTCCGATTTGGATATAGCTCCCATATATATTTTTATCCGATATCAAATTAATTGTGCACCAAATGGGCAATACAAGTCCGAATTTAAAAGATACAAATGCTTCGGCAAATTTAGTCTTTTGAACTTTAAATTATAATTACATAGCGTGTATGATTGAATTCTCCCATAAAAACTTTTAATTGTTATGCGCAGCTCTACTAAATTAGGAAAGTGGTGTAGGGTATCAAAAAGTCGGCACCGCCCGACTTTAAGACTTTCTTTACTTGTTTAAATTGCGTCTTGGCAAGCTAGAAAATTCCAAGAATAATTTTATCAGAATTGGAACAAGTATTTTAATTTTGGAATGCTGAAAAATATATTTATTATAGGAGTTTGTAACTCTTTTTTTCGCTCTTGCATTTAGGCATTTTTTTAAAAAATCTTCCTTACACCTTGCTTTGTACCTCAGCCACAAAAACAATATACCATTCCACATCACCACGGAAACTCATATTGACCTTGTAGAAACCCTCCTGTAAATGTTGTGGAAATGACTTCTGATCAAATTGGCATTTGTCCAAGTAGTAGACACCTCTCTCAAAGGGTGGCTCAAATTTATCCTCAAATGCTGGGAAATTTGAACAATCCTTTAGGGTATCCATTACATAGTCCTTGTAGAAGGTGTTCAAATACTCGAATATATGTTGGCGAGGCGTTTTAAAGGGCAACGGGTGATAATCCTTGCCATTGGCGCTGCGATAGGAATTAAACTCAACCTAGAGGGGTATTTTGAGAGGTTATAAAACATATTACTCCCCTCAAGAAAATATTCAAAATTATACCGTATTCGAATCGCCCTCATGAATATCATATTGGATATCCGCACTACCCATAACAGCAAATACACCACGGCTAATACGCTCCAGCTTACATTCACCAAATTTCACCTTTTCAGGATCGGAGGAATAGGTTTCAATTGATTTCAATTCGTATGTCCAGGTTTGCTGGGAAATAAAAAAAAAAACAATTATTAAAAAAATATTAAAAACAATTCCTCTTCATATATTTTATTTTCTTTACCTCCACATCCACAAGAGAACAAACAAATATTATGGACGAGAAAAATATCACAGCCCAAAGGCTTAAAACCTCAAAGGATAAATGCATGCTGAACTCGGCCAAAGCATACAATGAGTTTGAGTTATGAAAATTGAAATATTTATACAAAAAATTGAATTCATTTGAATATTTGCAAAAATGGATAATGGATTAAAACATAAAAAAAATGATTTTTTTCTTATCACGAGTTTTGTGTAACAAATGATTTGCTACAATCTGATAACAAATAGATAATCGACAAAAGTCAATTGATTGCAATTAAATTTCAATTCAACAACACAACTTAGATATTGAAACTAGAAAGAGTAACCCAGGAAATATTTGGTAACTCATGTGTCACTTTTAGCACTACCGGCAATGACAACTACGTACCCTCTGCATTACTAGTAGGCCAAAAATAGTAAAACATCAAGATTTGGCCAATTCACGTACAAGCCATGACAAAAATCAAAATCCTGAAAATAATAAATTTTAACCTAATTTTTAAACTCATTTCCAAAACCGCTCCATATCTCAATCCTAGACAGCATACTAGTATGAATTTCCAAACCCACCTACGAATTCGTGCACACAATACCAATTTTAGTACTGTTTAGTACAATTATAGAGAACACCTCCTAAATCACCCTCATATTTCACTCCCAGATACCAACAATGACCTCTATATCAAATTTCGAGATTTTAGTTCTATTCCTTTAACCAATTCAGTACCGGTTAGTACTTTTCGAAAAATTATAGAGCACATTTTTAAAACCACTTCCATATCTTAACCACAGGCACCAAAAGACACCAGCCAATACCAAATTTCAGGATTTCCGCATTATTCCTTCATTCAATTTAGTAGTTTTTCCAAAGCCATCACCAGATACCTACAGAGACTATAATATCAAATTTCGGTATTCCAGTGCTATCTCTTCACCCAATACCGATTTTAGTACCACTTAGTACTTTTCAAAACAATTACAGTACTCAGGTTATACACAACCAGCTTCTTTCTTGAAACCCAGATACCAACAGTGACCTCGATACAAAATTTCACAATTCCATCCCTATTCCAACACCCAACGGAACATTTTGTGGCAATTTGCACTATTCGTACTTTCAAAGTACTCATATTCAGAACCAGCTCTTTCCCTCAACCACAGATACCAACAGTGACATCCATACCGAACTTTAGGATTTTAGCTCTATTCCTTCTCCCACTGCCAAATTTAGTACCATTTAGTACTTTTTCTTATAAAATATAAGAAGTTCCAAAACCATCGCCAAATCTCAAACAATGATGCCATCAGCAATCTTAATATCAAATTTCATAATTTTATCTCTATCCCTACACCCAATACCAAATATAGTACTATTCAGTATTTTTCGTTAAATTACGGTACACATTTCTCTAGATGACCAGGCTACACACGAACAGTGAACCCTAATAAAAAAATTTCAGATTTCAAGCACAATTTGTTTATCTGTTTTTTTTCGTGCACTCGTAGTACACATTTCCAAAACCACCTCTTAATCACAACCCTACACTAACAGGGACTCCAACACAAAATTTCAAAATCACAGGTTATTAGTAAACTTAGTACACTTTTCCAAAACCACATTCATATATCAAACTTATTTTCCAAACTTGATTCTCAAACCAAATTTTAAGTTTTTAGCTCAATCTTTTTTACGTAGTACTAAATGCTACCATTTAAGAAGTTGAATACTATTTTAGAACTGTAACCTTAAACTCCGAATTGCCAAGAATTCAACATTGCCAAGTACATGTATCCTGAACTCCATCAGTGGCTCTTATTCAAATTTCAGAAGTTTAGCTCATTCCATTTGTCCAATATAAAGTATTCAATTTTTAGTACATTTTAGTAATCTTCCAAAAATCTAAACTTATCACACGCCTACGCACAAAAACTGAACCTCGTGTAAAATGTTCGGATTCCAGCATTGATTCTAATTCAGTTTTGTGATTTTTGTGTTTTTTGGGTGAGATAAAAAATGTCGAAAATTTTACAATAATTTTAGATTTGTTCGAATTGGTCACCTTTGGCACGAATTATGACCTTCAAACGGCCAGTGAAACCGTCACATGCTACTCGAATGTTGCTCTGCGGTATTTTGGCCCATTCCCGGCGAAGCGTTTACTTGAGGTGATCGACACTTTGGTATTTATGCTTTCCAAAATACCCCAGACACAATAGTCCAACGGATTGGTATGCGGAGATTTTGGTGGCCATTGTGCGCTGAAAATTAAGCGATAAACATCATTTTGTCTGCGGTCAAAATGTTTGCGAGCCCAAGGCTTTGATACACCCTCCAGAATATTTTGGCGATAATATTCGGCATTTATTCTGATGCCACGGTCGATTAATACGAGCGGAGAGCGCCCATCGGCAATTATAGCGGCCTACATTATCACAATGGCCGGGGCTTGAGTTCTGTCTGGTGGCCAACCGAAGGTGCTCATTTTCAGCTGACCTCTTTGGCAAGTAAACACGATCATTTTTTTTTTGTTACAAACAGCTGGACAACGAATGTTTTCTCATCGGAGAAAACCACTTTCGGCCAAGCGAAGCATCTCTTTAGCTCATTTGAGTCAATTTTATTTCTTTTGCGATGTAAGTTCTTTCATTTTTTGGAATTTCAATGGCTTTACCCCGAGCTTATTTTCAATATTTGCCGAATAGAATATTGCGATATGTTCAGCTCACGAGCCATTTTTCGGCCACTGCGACACGGGTTTTGATCAAGTCGCTTCTTTACTTTTCGAACCACTTCTGCTGATGTTGCTGTTTTCTTACACTTCCTTTACATCGGGCTACGCTACCAATATCACGGTAACGAGCTGTCGGACGAGTGGCTTGGAAATGACAGCATTCTGAAGTTGGTTGCAGTTTTTTCATCTCGCCCTGTATATCTACCGAAAGTATAGGCCTGATATATTTCTTTCACACCAGATCGGAAAATTGGTATATCTGGAGATTGCATGAAATCGTATACTGATTTCGTATTTCATAGGATGTTTTATTCATTTAAAACAAAAACAACACCAACATTTGATCTAGTGCAAGTAAAAAAAACTTTGGCCAAGCTTAAGTTTTTATACCCTTAGTATTTGAGCGAGTTTCAGTAAAAAATCCAAATACCGAGAAAATTAAAAGGGAAACAAGTGAAAAATACTTTAATTGAACATTAACAGAAGGGTAAATATAATTCAGGAACAATTTTTTTTTAGATAGTCAGCCATGATTTTTTTTTTTCAAAAATATTTAATAACTCGTGATATGTTAATCATGATTTCATTTTTAATTGAGCAAAGTCATTGTGATGTTAAATCTCGATGCATTTTCAAATCATTTCATCAAATGTCATGAGTTTCGTGTTGGCATTTATTTGCTGAATGGTGTTATCTGATACCAAACAAATAATAATTTTCAGTCAATTGAATTCATTTGAATTTGGATAATAAACGCGAAGCCAATTAAATGTCAAAATAAGCATTGATCTGTATCCTCGAAATTCTGTAATTATTAAACCATATATGATTAAATTAAGTCCACAAAATGTTATTGCCTGCAAATTTCTGCCATAACAAATCACTAGATAAAGTCAATTAAAGTTTTTTATAATTTTCAGTCGATTTATACTCTAAAAATTGTTCAAGTTAAACATTGTATATTACCCACTTGGTTTTAGATCATCAATACCTGCAAATTAAGTAGAATAAAACTGTCATACCGTAAGAATAATTTTATAATATCTGGGGATTTTGGTGCGGCTTCGGATAAAAATTCTCTTTACAAAAAATATTCATGTCCAAGGTGATATCACAAGAAGAAATGTGGCTGATGAAGAATTCTGTTTAGCAAATAAAATAGAAACGTAATAAAATATATTGAAGTTAGAAGGAATATGGACTATCGAGTCATATTATCGGATCATATCGTATAGTAGAATTTGATGATGAATTAAGGTTTTTTATAAACCAAAATTGATTATATTTTTTATGGTACATATTAAGTTAATATTTTTTTTTATGTTTAGAGATATATAATGAAATTGTGTGTAGAATATTTTATTCTTCTTTGATGTTAGAAAGATTGAAATTAACAGTCCAACTCATAAACATGTAATTTTCACCTGATATATTTTAATTCAAATGTAATCTCCCTTAAAGCTATAAAACCCGGATCTAATATCTAGTGAAGTTTTGTGTGAAATATGTCGCCTTTTGAAACTTTCCGTCTATAACGAAGTTTTGGGTTGCTTTCATGCATAAACTCGAAAAAAGTCCGATGAGATATCCATGACAATATTTTTGGGTTTTATTTTTACCAGAAATGTTGACTTACATTTTCCTGCTATGTAGTGGAAATAGAGATTTTATTTTCCTGGTGACTTATAGAGAATTTTTATTAAGAATATATTTGTCTTTGACATCATCCTTCAAAAATTATGAGTATATTCTGATATATTCTGATTATGAATATTCAGAATATATTCTAGCGTAAAATTCTAAAACGATCTGATGCAATCACGCTATCTTTCTAACGAATTTTCACCAGTAGGCAGGTTCGTAAATGGGCCATGACGTTCCACGCCTTCGTATAGCCCCCATATAACAGTTCCTCCAGATATTCAGTATTTTCATGATTATGGCGACATTATTCACCGGAATTATTTCAAATTTCGTATTTGAAGTTCACAATAGGTACAACAGCCTATGACAAAAAAAAATTGTATGCAGGTCCAAGTATTCGTATAGCCCCCAAATATCAGTACCTCCCGATAGTTGGCATTTGATGATTTCAGGAACATTATTCACCGGAATAGTTTAAAACTTCGTTTTGGAAGATCTTAATGGGTACTACAACCTATGGCAAAAATTTCGTATGCAGGTCCACGTCTTCGTATAGCCCCATATGACGGTACCTCCCGATATTCGGTATTTTCATGATTTTAGCCAAATTATTTACCAGAATTATTTCAAATATCTTATTTTTAGTTCGTAATGGTTACTACAGGCTATGACAACAAATTTCGTTAGCAGGTTCACGTCTTCGTATGGTCCGCATATAACGGTTTTCAGTTAAGTGGTAGTTTTCGGATTTTTTTTTTTTTCAAAATTTTCATGTTTCTTCCTAATGGTGGAGGGTATTAAAAGTTCGGCCCGGCCGAACTCAGCTTCTTTTTTACTTGTTAATTGAGACTATAGCATTAAATGAAAAATTGGCACAATAAATAAAAACCCTTTAAGGAATTTGCTGTTATTAAACAATACGATTACCTCCACTTAGAATTTCTTAACCTCCCCGACAAAATTGGCTGGAAACGTGGACTTGGAAAGTATATTTATGTGGGAACTATACCAAAAAATATGTACCTATGTTTATATCTGTTTTTCTGTTCTCTACCCCCAAATTAGCCTAAATACATATTTTTTGCCAAACCAAATCGAAAATGTGTCCAAGACCCTCTAAATAGGTACTGCGAAACATTGACCTACGTTGAAAAATTGTCTGCGAAGACGTTATTTACCCTCTTAGAAACCAAGATGGCAAAAAACGGGCCAAATCAATTGAGAAAATGTAGCCGAGACCACGGAAATAACTGAAATCAGGATACCTACATATGAGGGTTATACCAAAACTTGGGCCTTTTCACTAAGAACTCAAATAACTCAAATTTTCCGAAATTATTATGATCCCTTTTTGCTAAAATGTAAAAAAAAATACTTGAAATGGGGATGAACTCTTATATGGGGTCTATAACAAAACAAGGTCCGACATTACCCATATTTTGTACAAATGATTCTACATCTATATCTTAAATTTTGCAAAATATTTGAAGACCTTGGTGTATGGTCCATGGGCCCTAAATCTTACCTGTGAACCCCAACGCCTTTGGGGATTTTGACATACTTACCAAATTCTATGAGTTTCCCGTAGAATTTCCGATATATTCGAGGTCTCTATGTATGTTTAATGGGCCTTGGGACCCCAACTACTTTTGGGAGTTTGATGTACTAAGAAAACACTAAGACCTCCACATAGAGTGTCAAAGCCAATGCCGATGACACTAGATACCCACAATTAAAATATTCCAAGGAATATTTATACAAAAATAAAAAAATGAGGAGGAAGGGGCCTTTCGCCGTTTATTTAGGTTACTTTGTTAAGTTAAATTTAAAACTGAAACCAAAATCATCTAAAATATCATTTTAAGATCTTTCAATTATTTTTATTTCATTATTATTATTATTATTTTTTTTTTTTTTTGAAAATGCTGAAGTTACTTAAACCTATCTTATTCAAAAAACTTTTCAAATTATTTCCATCTTCTTTTCAATATTTTTATTGCATGCACAAAAAAATTTTTGAAATGCTGATTTACTACATTAATGGAAATATTTGGATTTTTTCACGATTTTGACTTCCACTATGTCCAATAGAGAACATATAACCATTTATATGTTTTCTATTTCAACGACAAAAATGAAATGCCATTCAACCTCTCCACTGCCGGCCATATCGACTTTGTAGAAGCCTTCTTGCATATGTTGTGGAAAGGCCGATTGATCAAATTGACATTTCTCCAGAACGTAGGTCTTTTTCTCCAATGGCGGTACAAACTTGCCCTCAAATGCCGGCATATTTGAGCAGTTCTTCAACGAGTTCATGGCATATTCCTTATAAAATGTATTGAAATACTCGTACAAATGTTGACGGGGTGTTTTCAATGGAATCGGCTTGTAGTCCTTGCCATTTTCACTGCGATAGGCATGGAATTCTATCTGTTGGCATTTTGCAGAACTAATAATTTTTTTAATAAAAACAATATTTCATGATATTTACCATATGAGAATCGCCCTCAACAATATCGGCATTTATTGTAAAACTTCCCGATCCGGCATAGACGCCACGACTTATACGCTCTACTTTAAATTCGCCAAATCTAAGCTTATCCAAATCGGATGAAAATGTTTCTATGGATTTTAGTTCATATGTCCAGGTTTGCTAGTTTTTGTAGAAAAAAAATCATTAAAGCGAATGCATTTGTGTCAAGTGAAATTTCATAGAAACCAACCTCCAATACAACGTCGGTAAATGCCACAGCCAGTGCTGAACAGAACAAGATATCCAATAGAAATGATTTTCTAATACTGCTCTTCATTTTATTTTTTGGATTTGCAGTTTGTGTATTGACTATTGTATTTATATATATTTTTTTTTAGAAAAATTATCTTTTGTAATCTTTTAATTGCCAAAGCAGAGATAATATTTACATTGTCATTTGGTATCAATTTATGATATCCGATACTGATAAATATTAAAAAAAAAACATTTTCAAATGCTAGCAATTATAAGATTATTTTTGTGTAATTGAGTGATTATCATTGATTTGAAATGTGTTGATTTGGATTGTATTCTCTTCAAAATTCAGTCAATCAATAGGCTTCCTCATACTCGAAAGTGATTTTTGCTCTAATGTTTTTTTGTCTAAATCAAAATCAATTATTATGGAAAGAAATAAAAAAATATGTTCCTTGGAATTTTTATAATAAAACATTTTTTGTGAGTGTAGAAATAAAATTGTAAAAGGAATTTGTTGAGTTTTTTTTGTGAACTCTAAATACGAATTTCCCTAAATATAATGGGTAAGTTTTCTATTATTTGTAAAATCTTTCTTTAAATTTCCGCTTATTTTGGCATATTGACTATTTTGCCATTCTGTTTCTAGAATATCTTTCTGCAAACTAGTTTTTATAAAGATTTAGGATTTAGTATGGCCTACTAAAAATATTTAGAAAGATCAATACATATTTTCCAAATTTATAAGTCTTTATATTTTGTTATACCCTACACCGCATAGTGGTGAGGGGATTATGTCCTTGAGAATTTGTTTGTAACATGGAGAAGGATGCGAGATAGACCCATATTTACTTTTGAGGATCTTCACAGAACCACTTTCTGAGTCGATTCATGCATATCAGTCCGTCTGTCCGTCCGACCATGTATTCTTGTGAACAAAATGCAGATCGCATTTATTATCCGATTAAGATTAAATTTTGCAAACAATATTTGATTGGGCAAAGGACGAACCCTATTGAAATTAGTGGTAATCGGATCAGAATCAGATATATCTTCAACCGCTTTCGGGTTAATTGTGCACCAAGTGGCTAATATAAGTCTAAATGATCTGTATTTTGGTACATTCCACCGACCTCAGTCTATAAGTAAGTAAATCAAATTCGGTTCAGATATAGCTATAGCTCCTATATATATGTTTCATCTGATTTTGTGTTTTTAGGTCACTCACATTCGTAATATGCATTCGACCACAATTATATTTGTTACCAGTTATCAGATACAGAAATACCTCTGCCAAATATTATCAAGATCGGTTCAGATTTAGATATAGGTCCCATATATATAGTTTCATCCAATTTCGGGTTAATTGTGCATTAAATTTAGTGAAAATCGTTTCAGATATAGCAATAGCGCCCATATATATGTTTCATCCGATTTGATCTTTAAGTCCCTCACATTCCGAAGGTGCACTGTCGGAAATGAAAGCAAAAAATGTCGTAAATAACAGCAAATTTAAGAACAAGTGTGGATTTGTTGGAATTTACCACCTTTGGCACGAATTATATCAAACGGCCAATGAAACCATCACACGCTGCCCGAACGTTGTTCTGAGGTATTTTGGCCCATTCAGGGCGATCGAAACTTTGGTATTTTTTAGTGCCATCCTTGCTTTCCAAAAAACTCCAGACCCAATAGTCCAACAGGTTGGCATTCGGAGATTTTGGTGGCCATTGTGCGCTGGAAATGAAGCGAGGAACCTCATTTTGTAAATATTCTTGGGTGGCGCGTGCTGAGTGCAATGGTGCTAAATCCTGTTGGAATGTCCATGGTCTGCGTCCAAAATGTTTGCCCACCCAAGGTTTTAATACTCCTTCCAGAATATTTTCGCGATAATATTCGGCATTTATTCTGATGTCACGGTCGATTAGTACGAGCGGAGAGCGACCATCGGCTGTTATGGCGGCCCACACCATCACCATGGCTGGCGCTTGAGTTCTGGTGGCCAACAAAACGTGCACATTTTCAGTTAACCTCTTTGGCAAGTAAACACGATAATTTTGTTTGTTTACAAACTGCTGGACAACGAATGTTTTTTCATCGGAGAAAACCAAATTCGGCAGTTCACCACTTTCGGCCAAGCAAAGCAACTCTTTAGCTCTGTTAAGTCTATTTTCTTTTTGTTGCGGTGTAAGTTCTTGCATTTTTTGGAATTTTAATGGCTTAACCCCGAGCTCATTTTTCAATATTTGCCGAATGGAATATTGCGATATGTTCAGCTCAGGAGCCATTTTTCGGCCACTGCGACGCGGGTTTCGAACAAGTCGCTTCTTTACTTTTCGAACCATTTCTGCTAATGTTGCTGTTTTCTTCCGTTCACTTCCTTGGCGTCGGGCTACGCTACCAGTATCACGGTAACGAGCGATGGTACGAGACACAAACGATTTATTCACATTCAAATGCTGGATTGTTCTAGCGATAGCCACTTGTGGTTTTCCAGCCAAATATATAGAAATCACACTATCACGCTTGAACTCCATCACGAATAATTTTTTGCTGGAAGATTCTCATCAAAATGCTTTGGTAAGCTTGTAAACAATATAATGGGCTGTCACTGGAATAATTTTAACAGCTGTCGGACGAGTGGCTTAGAAATGACAGTAGTCTGAAGTTGGTTGCTTTGCTTTGCGGTTTTTTCATCTCACCCAGTATGTATGGTGGAGGGTATAACTTGGACCTGCATAGACAATTTTCTGTCACAGGCTGTAGTACCTGTTAGGAACTTCAAATACGAAATTTCAAACAATTTCAGTGAATAATGTCGCTAAAACCATCTAAATACTGAATATTAGGAGGTACCGTTGTATGGGGGCTATAAGAAGGCGTTTACCTGCACAGAGAATCTTGTGTCATAGGCTGTAGTATCCGCTACGAACTTCAAATACTAAATTTGAAACAATTTCAGAGAATAATACCTCTAAAATCATCAAAATACCAAATGTCGGGAGGTACCGTTATATGGAGGCTATACGAAGACCTTGGCCTGAATGCGTAATTTTTTTGTCACAGGCTGTTGTACCCACAACGAATTCTTAATACGACATTTGAAACAACTCCGGTGAATAATGTCTCCATCTTTGAACTTAACCTGCCTGCAGATCTGACGGAAGATCGGACGGAAGAATTGTACACTGATCAAGAATGTGTATACATTGTTATGTCTAAAATTATTATTTCGATGTGTTACAAACGGAATGACGGACTTAATATAACCTCAATATTATTTGTGGTAGATGGAATAAAAATCGAAAAAATTATAAAATAAAACTTTTCTAGGTCTCGATATTTTAATTTGGAAAATATTGGTCAACTGCTTCTCGTACCTCCCTCAAAAAAAGGAAAATTTTAAATAATAATAACTCTGATAAAATACGATTCGTTTCCTACTTTCTTCACATACATTGCATATACCAATTGGGCAACATTAGATTTCCTCGAAGATCAGATTTTTTTTGTTCACTCTTTCTAGAATCTAAATAATTTCAGCGATAAAATACTGATTCTATATATTTTGACTTGTTATCTAACCTGTTTTAACACAATTTTCTATAACCCTGCATTATAAAACATGGATGACAGACTGACATTTTTCCGAATTTAAAATACATTAGTTTTTCGAATCGCTAACTGTTTTCCACGCGATCGCGACAAACCAAGTGATTAGCCCATGTAGATTTATATCGGAAAGATGTCATGTAATTAATTATAATTCGCCTGATGTAGAAGCAATGATTTGCGTTAGTTCAATGAGTTTACAATAGTTCCGCCAATTACTATAAATTAACTGTTTAAAAAGGCCAATTATCAATTGTTTTGTAAAGCAGTAAAAATGCAATTATCAACCGGAATAGCTGAAGTGATTTTATTGTTGGTTTCATCAAAATTGGTGACAGGAGGGAACTACGGAGGTGGAAACTATGGAGGTGGGAGCTACGGTGAAGCAAACTATGGAGGAGGACACTACGAAGACAAGGTTTTGGGCACAAGGAAGTTTTAATTGTTGCATATTTTAAACGATGAACAAAATTTTGTTTTCCTAAAAAAATTAAATTTAGCAAACCTGGACCTATGAACTGAAAGCGGTAGAAACTCACTCGGACAATCCAGATTTATTGAGTTTCAGTGATTGGAAAGTTGATCGAATAAGTCGAGGTGTCTATGCTGCATCGGGAAGTTTTGTGTTAAATTATGACATTGTCGAAGGCGATGATAATGAGGTCTATCTAATGATCATGTACATCAAAGCAAATGTGCGAATCTTAATCGTTTTTCATTGCAGATTGAAATAAATTCTTATCGCAGTGAAAACGGTGTCAAAGATTACAGGCCAATACCATTTTCCGTGCAGCGTCAACATTTACATAGCTATCTCAACACGTTTTACAAGGACCTGGCCATGGACACTCTTAAGGATTGTTCGAATATGCCAGTATTTGAAGATCAGTTCGAGCCACCGTTGGAGAAGAAAACGTACACAATGAACAAATGCCAGTTCGACCAGAGTGGTTTTCCACAGCATTTACAGGATGGATTTTATAAAGTGATTTTAAGTGGCTATGGTTCGGTCAATTGGTATATGTCGTTCGTAGTTGAAGTACAAAATGTTATGTATTGATGGGCTCATATAAGATTTTAAATATATAATCTGGTCTTCTTAGTCGGAAGAAAATTAGTGTACCACATTTTTAATCCCCATACCATACCGGGTACCAAGACGTTGTATATTTGTATTGAGAACATATAGAATCCCAATCTGTGTCGATATTTTCGTACGTCTGTCCATGTTTTTTTATGGCATTTTCCACAAATCATTTGCTTAACCCAAGGTCGAACGCTATTTAAATAGGTGTTAATCGGACCAAATATAAATATAACTCTTCGTCTACTTCATCCGATGTAAATTTTATTGTGTGCACATTCGAACGAATTCAGACTAGAAGCAAGTACCTCAAATTTGGTGAAAATGTAGGGTGAGATAAAAAAGACTGCAACAAAGTCAAACGCCATAATTTTTACGTTTTTTTAATTTTATTGAATAAAAGCAAAAAATGTTGGAAATAGCATCAACTTTTAGAATAACTTTAGATTTGTTCAAATAGGTCACCTTTGGCACGAGTTATGGCCTTCAAACGGCCAATGTAACTGTCACACGCAACCCGAATGTTGCTCTGCGGTATTTTGGCCCATTCCCGGCGAAGCGCTTGCTTGAGGTGACCGACACTTTGGTATTTTTTTAGTGCCAGCCTTGCTTTCCAAATACTCCAGACACAATAGTGCAACGGATTGGTATTCGGAGATTTTGGTGGCCATTGTGCGCTCGAAATGAAGCGAGGAACCTCATTTTGTAACCATTCTTAGGCGGCGCGTGCTGAGTCCTGTTGGAATGTCTAAGGTCAGCGGCCAAAATGTTTGCGTGCCCAAGGCTTTAATACACCCTCCAGAATATTGTCGCGATAATATTCGGCATTTATTCTGATGCCACGGCCGATTAATACGAGCGGGGAGCGACTATCGGCTGTTATGGCGGCTCACACCATTACCACGGCCGGCGCTTGAGTTCTGGTGGCCAACCGAAGGTGCACATTTTCAGCTGACCTCTTTGGCAAGTAAACACGATCATTTTGTTTGTTTGCAAACTGCTGGACAACGAATGTTTTCTCATCGGATTGGAGAAAACCACTTTCGGCCAAACGAAGCAACTCTTAAGCTCGTTTGAATCTATTTTCTTTCTGTTGCGGAGTAAGTTCTTGCATTTCGGCCAAACGAAGCAACTCTTAAGCTCGTTTGAATCTATTTTCTTTCTGTTGCGGAGTAAGTTCTTGCATTTTTTGGAATTTCAATGGCTTTACCCCGAGCTCTTTTTTTAATATACGCCGAATTGAATATTGCGATATGTTCAGCTCACGAGGCATTTTTCGGTCATGCGACCCGGGTTTCGATCAAGTCGCTTTTTCACTTTTCGAACCATTTCTGCTGATGTTGCTGTTTTCTTCCGTCCACTTCCTTGACGTCGGTAACGAGCGATGGTTTGAGACACAAAAGATTTATTCACATTTAAATTCTGTAGTGGTCTAACGATAGCCACTTGTGTGGGAGAGAGCCGACGAGTTCAAAATTCACACCAGATATTTAGTTGCCAAATTTAAAAAAAAATCGATGACTTGTTTCGAAAATTATGAGAGATATTAGTATTGACAAGTAAAAATGGTGGAGGGTATTAAAAGTTCGGCCCGGCCGCTATTTGGAGCGAATTTGACAATTTTCAAAAAAATAACATTCGCCAAAATTTCTGTTAAAATTTTCAAAAAAATAACATTCGCCAAAATTTCTGTTAAAATCTTAAAAATACCTAATATAGCCGTTGGGGTCTATACGACGGCGTGGGCCTGCATCGGCAAATTTTCATTATCTATTATAATATTCAGATACGAAACTTGAAAAGAATCCGCTGAATAATATACCAAAACGTGGACCTGTACAGACAATTTTCTGTCATAGGATGTAGTATCCACTACTAATTTTAAAAACAAAATTTGAAGCAATTCAACAAAATACCGAATATCGGGAGGTACCGTTATATGGGGGCTATACGAATATACGTGGACCTGCACAGACAATTTTCTGTCAAGGCTGAAGAAACCATTACAGAATTAAAATACCAAATTTGAAACAATTCCGGTGAATAGTGCCGCTTAAATCACCAAAAAATTCCGAAAATAGAGAGGTACCATTATATGGGGGCTATACTAACATGGCCCATTTTCAATACCAAAAGTCCTGCAGATACTACCTACCTACTTCATTTCATTCAAAAGCTAGTGTGATTTCCACAGACGGATAGACGGACGGACATCTCTAAATCGACATAGAATTTTCCGCTGATCAATAATTATTCTGTGGGGGTCTAAAATGTATATATCGAGGTGTTGCAAACGGAATGACAAACTTAATATACCTTCCATGCTTTGGTGAAGAGTATAAAAATTGTGGATCGATATCTTCACATCAAAATTTGAAATTTGAAGACAATCGGTCTGTTACATCACATTTTATAAGAGTTCGAATTATTTAAAATGTTGACCCTTTTTGGGGAGGTACTTTATAGAGTGAACCGATATTGCCCATTTTCGCACTTGACCAATCACTTATGCTAATATTAGGATTTCTGAAGTTGAAGCAAAATTGGATTATCCTTTCTCTTTCTGTGCAGTAAATTTTTTTTGTTTTTTGAAAATTTCAACCTTTTGTGGAGGAGGTACCACAAGGAGTGAATTCGATGAATTCGATGAAAGTTTGAAAATAATAGAACGATGTACAAAGTTTGGACCAAATCGGATACTCCTTTTGTGAGTTATCATGTGCACCAGCCAGACAGACAGATGCTAGATCGACTCCAAATGTTCTGAAACGGATTTAGTTTAAAGAGACCTTGGGTCTAAACCCGTTATTTCGTTGAGGCACGTTTTGGTCGTATAAAAATGATATATACCCTCTCTAGCCATAAGGCTGAGAGTATAATTAACACATTTCCATTAATTACAGTTAAGTACATGTCAATAATTCACAACTAGAAAAATATTGCTACTAACTCGAAGGAGGGGACTGACTGCAGATGATTGACCCATGTCGTTGGTAATCATAATAAGTCACGCAAACAATTACAACTAACGGCTCTTACAAAAATTATGATTGTTTTATTAATTGGATAAATGTACAGAGGATCATCTCAAACGGTATAAATTAACCCCCAATGAGGGAGTTGATTGAGAATAGCTGAAAGTTAAGATAATGAAAATAGTTTGTGGGATAGCGGTAGCAGTTGGCCTGGTAACTGTCTTAACGCCTTTAAAGGCAAAGGCAGGCTTAGTTCCCATGAAGGTAATACCTTATATCTCTTTTTATTATTTCGACAAGGATTTAATTTAATTTCAATAACCACACCAGCAAACATGGACCTATGAGCTGAAATCAATCGAAACTCATTCGGATAATCCAGATCTAATGAGTTTTGAGGATTTTAAAGTGGAGCGCATAAGTCGAGGCGTGTATGCGGCCAGTGGAAGTTTTACGGTGAATTACGATGTGGAAGAGGGAGATGATACTGAGGTCAATATTTGACATTTTGTGTTATATGGTTCAGTTAAAATTCGAAAAAAATTTATTACAGATCGAATTCCTTTCATATCGTAGTGAAAACGGTGTCAAGGAATACAAACCCTTACCTTTTAGGGTGCAACGTCAACATCTCTATCGATATTTTGACAATCTGTATAAAGTCGTCATGGGCACCCTGAAGGAATGTTCCAATATGCCGGCATATGAGGATAAATTTGAACCACCATTCGAAAAGAAGACCTATGTTTTGGATAAATGCCAATTTAATCAGGAAGAATTTCCCCAACATTTACAGGAAGGATTTTACAAGGTCATTGTTAATGGTTATGGTGCCGCCACTTGGAATATGGTCTTTGTAGCGGAAATAATAAGTGATGTGTAATTGGGTGAAAGTTTTAATTCATAAACATAAATTTCAATAAATGTTTCAATTGCGATAAATTTCAATAAATGTTTCAATTGCGAATAAACTGTGACAAGTAATAAAATATCAACGATGTGATACAATGCATCAATATACTATGCAGTAAATTTTCTGTAGATCGAAAATAAAAGATTCCCCCAAGAATGAAGAATTCCTGAACATTATGTATATAGTAAAAGTATTTAAAATCAAATCATTCCAAGAAGAAAATTTTTATGAAAATATTTTTTTGGTGCATTTCATTCGCGATATCTATATTCTTCATGTGTAAAAGATTAGTGAAATAACTGACTGTTTGATCTAGAATCAAGGCATTCAGGGGATCAGTCTTGGTGCGTAGGCGTCTGATAAGGCTGCGTTTTTGGAAATTCGTACCAAAAGGGTACGAAAAGTACTAATATGTACCGTAATTGGATTTTTTGCATTGAAATGAGCTAGAATTCTGGAATTTGAAATAAAAGTCACTAATGGAATGCAGGATAGATGTACCAAAGGGTTTTTGGAAATTTGAACTTTAAGGTTACAAAAAGTTTTAAAATTGTACTGAACTTCTAAAATGGTACCATTTGGTATTATGTGAATGGATAAAGCTAACAGTTTGAATTTTAGTATGAGAATCATGATTAGAAACTAAGTTTGATATATGAAGGTGGTTTTAAAAATGTGTGTGAAGATGGTTTTAAAGAGTACTAAATAGTACTATATTTGGTACAATTTGGTATTGAGTGAATAGGGCTTGAAATCTGAAATTTGGTATTAGAGTCGCTGTTCATGAGTAGCCTAGACATATGGAGGTGATTTTGAAAATGTTTAATATGCAGGGTGAGATGAAAAAACTGCAACTAACTTCAGTCTGCTGTCATTTCTAAGACACTCGTCCGACAGTTGTTAAAATTATTCCAGTGGCAGTTCTTTATATTGTTTACAAGCGTACAAAAGCATTTTGGTGAGAATTTTCAGAAAAAAATATATTCGAGATGGAATTCAAGCGTGATAGGAAACCACAAGTGGCTATCGTTAGAGCGCTCCAGCATTTAAATGTGAATAAATCTTTTGTGTCACGTACCACCGCTCGTTACCATGATACTGAACGTCAAGGAAGTGGACGGAAGAAAACAGCAACATTAGCAAAAAATTACCGAAAAGTAAAGAAGCGACTTGATCGAAACCCGTGTCGCAGTGGTCGAAAAATGGCTCGGGAGCTGAAAATATCGCAATATTCCATCCGGCAAATATTGAAAAATGAGTTCGGGGTAAAGCCATTCAAATTCCAAAAAAGTGCAAGAACGTACACGGAAACAGAATGAAAATAGACTCAAAAAAGCTAAAGAGTTGCTTCGCTTGGCCGAAAGTGGTGAACTGCCGAATTTGGTTTTCTCCGATGAGAAAACATTCGTTAATTGTCTAGAAATATTTCATAGGGGTTTGGGTTATTTAGGTTTGGAAGATATTTGGGGTTGAAAATTGACCAAAACCTGACATTTTCTAGATTTTGCAGTCGCCCTACAGTTGCCAAATAAGAATCAATGAGTATGTAATTTTTTATGAAGTTAGAGCTTGGGGCAGCGCTGAAGCCTAGCATTTTGGATAGTCATCGAATTATAATGAAATGAACCAAAATTTAGTGTGAAAAATACCACAATACCATCAAATACATGAGGGCACATCTCCGAACTATATATTGATGCTGGTTTCGTTGACAAATCCAAATATCGGAAATACAGGAGGAATAACATTTTCAAATATTGTTTTAAATACCCATTAACACGATATAGGGCGTTAATATAGTTCAAATTCTACGAAGATTTGCATGAGCACGTGGATTCGTTCAAAAACCAAAATAAGAAAATCACTCTAGCTTCTAGGTGTGGTATAGTCCCCATATGCATGTATTCCAAGATATTCGATTTTTTTAAGGATTTTAAGTGCATTTTTCGTAATAGGCTCCACCTTCTCTGGCAGATAACTACCTATGAATGTCCACGTTTTCGTATAGCCCCCATATAACTGTACCTCCAGATATTCGATATTTGGATGATTTGTATAAAACTTTTCACCGGAATTGTTTCAAATTTGATAATTAAAGTTCGTAATGGATACTCCTATGACAGAAAATAGTTATACAGGTCCATATTTTCGAATTGCCCCAGTTCCTACCAATTTTCGGTATTTTGATGATTTTAGCTACGTTTATCAACAGAATTATCTTAAACATGGTGTTTGAAGTTCGAAATAGGCACCACGAAATACACCTGATATTCTGAATTTTTGTATTTTAGCAGAATTTTCAACGGATATTTTTAAATTTTGGAAGCTCTTCTTAAATGGTGGAGGTTATTAAAAGTTCGGCCAGGCCGTACTTATCTGATTTTTTTTACTTGTTAACAATAATTTCTTGACAGACTAATTCGATTGTATAAATGTTCGAATCGAACATTTTTTTTACCTATTTTATGTAACCGATTAACTTTAAATCTGTATCATTAGTAAACTAAAGGAATTAAATAATTGAATAATTTAGTTATTAAAAATATATCGGTTCCGACGGATATTCCATCAATTGACATTCATTTTAAACAAGGAGGTTTCACTCAATTTTATTAAATTTGGTCCCGTACCCTGTTTAATATCTTTCAAACATAGCCGATTCAAGCAAAAAATTCAGTCTCCATTAAAATATCATTAAACTGTAAACATTTGTTATATATTCGCCAATGTAGATCATTGTCGCAAACATATTGTAAATATAATCTCGGCGAACATGTAATTACGTTATATTAGTTGAACGAGAATTTGTTATAAATTAACTAACTATGAACAAAACTTCTCGTCGAAAGTAGTGGTTAAATAAAAAAAAAAATGGAGGTCACAACTTCAGTATCCGTAATTATTGTTCTGTTTGCTATTTCAACATTAAGGAAGCTTGAGGCATCCTTAGTTCCCATAAAGGTGAAAAGGATATATTTCATAAAATTTAAAAATATTTTAAATACGAGTTATACATAACATTTATAGCACACCTGGACATATGAACTGAAATCGGTGGAAGCTCATTCGGATAATCCAGATTTATGGAGTTTCAATGAATTTAAAGTGGAGCGCATAAGTCGTGGGGTCTATGCAGCTTCCATAAGTTTTACCGTAAATTTTGACATTGTAGAAGGCGATGATACCGAGGTTAATATTCCTTCCAATAGCCTTTATGTATATTCCTGAGTAAAATTTTTTTCCCTTATTTGTAGATTGAATTCCTTTCATATCGCAGTGAAAACGGTGTCAAAGAATACAAACCGATACCGTTTAAGGTGCAGCGTCAACATCTTTTCAAATATTTCGATAATCTGTACAAACTTATTATGGGCACCTTGAAGGAATGTTCCAATATGCCAGTATTTGAGGATAAATTTGAACCTCCATTCGAAAAGAAAACGTATGTCTTGGACAAATGCCAATTCGATCAATCAGAGTTTCCACAACATATTCAGGATGGATTTTACAAGGTTATTGTTAATGGTTATGGTGCGGCTACTTGGAATATGGTTTTCATTGTCGAAATTATAAGTGAGTTGTAAATTAGTGACAATTTCATGGCGTTGGATTTTGAATTTTTAATTATTAAAGGAAAAAAAATGGCAATACTAATCCTTCTTGCACAAAATGTTCAGTGTGGTCCTGTTATTTGGTAAAGTCCCCCGATAGGTATAGCTGTGTAATATCAGCCCAAATAGTATGAAATTTGGTACTTATGACCAAATTGAGCCTAGAACAAGTATGTTAAATTTAGTGAAAATCGGTTCAGATATAGCAATAGCTCCCATATATATTGTTTATCCGTTTTGATATATTTGTAATCAGCAAACGTAACATGCACCTTGTAAAAACGATATTTGGAGAAATATATCAAATACAGCATAGAAATACCTTTTCTAAATTTCATCGAGATCGGTTCAAATTTGGATATAGCTCCCATATTTAGGGTGAGATGAAAAAACTGCAACCTATTTCAGACTCCTGTCATTTCTAAGCCATTCGTCCGACAGCTGTTAAAATTATTCCAGTGACAGTTCATTATATTGTTTACAAGCGTACAAAAGCATTTTGGTGAGAATTTTCCAGAAAAAAAGTTATTCGTGATAGTGTGATTTCTTTATATTTGGCTGGAAAACCACAAGTGGCTATCGTTTGTATCTCGTACTATCGCTTGTTACCGTGATACTGATAGCGTAGCTCGACGTCAAGGAAGTGGACGGAAGAAAAGAGCAACATCAGTAGAAATGGTTCGAAAAGTAAAGAAGCGACTTGATCGAAACCCACGTCGCAGTGATCGAAACATAGCTCGTGAGCTGAACATATCGCAATATTCCATTCGCCAAATATTGAAAAATGAGCTCGGGGTAAAGCTGTTGAAATTCCAAAAAGTGCAAGAACTTACACTGCAAGAAAAAGAAAATAGACTCAAAAGAGCTGAAGAGTTGCTTCGCTTGGCCGAAAGTGGTGAACTGCCGAATTTGGTTTTCTCCGCTCCGATGAGAAAACATTAGTTGTCCTGCAGTTTGTTAGCAAACAAAATGATCGTGTTTACTTGCCAAAGAGGTCAGCTGAAGATGTGTACCTTCGGTTGGCCACCAGAACTCAAACGCCGGTCATGGTGATGGTGTGGACCGCCATAACAGCCGATGGTCGCTCTCCTCTCGTAATAATCAAACGTGACATCAGAATAAATGCCGAATATTATCGCGAAAATAATCTGGAGGGTGTAATAAAGCCTGGGAAAGCAAACATTTTAGCCGCAGACCATGGAGACTCAGCTCCATCGCACTCAGCGCACGCCACCCAAGAATGGTGACAAAATGAGGTTCCTCGCTTCATTTCCAACGCACAATGGCCATAAAAATCTCCGGATACCAATCCGTTGGACTATTTTGTCTGGAGTATTTTGGCACTTACAAAATACCAAACTGTCGATCACCTCAAGCAAGCGCTTCGCCGGGAATGGACCAAAATACCGCAGAGCAATATTCGGGCAGCGTACGACGGTTTCATTGGCCGTTTGATGGACATAATTCGAACAAATCTAAACTTATTCTCAAATTTGATGCTATTTCCGACATTTTCTGCTTTCATTCAATAAAATTAAAACAAGAAATAATAAAAATTATGGCTTTTGACTTTGTTGCAGTTTTTTATTTCACCTTGTATGTGTTCGTCCGTCCGTCTGTCTATTTCAATTTACTATCACTCTAAAATATTTTAATAAAAAAATTAATATTTTTGTTGCATTTTGTGACATGTTTTTTATTTTTGTTATATTTTTTATTGAATGATGTTTTATACCCACTACCAATCTATGGAGGATATTGTCATTCCATTTGTAACTCCTCGAAATACTCATGTTAGACCCTACAAAGTACATATATTCTGTATCAGCATAAAATTCTAAGTCGATTTAGCGTCCGTCTGTCTGTTGTTATCACGAGATCTTGAGAACGAATTGAGGTAGAAAGCATTTATAGTTCATAAGTGGCCCATGTCGATTTATGTTTTCGATATAACGGTACCTCCTGATATTCGGTATGTGCATGATTTTAGCGACAATATCCACCGGAATTGTTTCAAATTTCGTATTTGAAGTTTGGTAGCGATACTACAGCATATGACAGAAAATAATTTATATAGGTCCACGTCTTCGTATAGCTCCCATATAACGGTTCCTTCCAACTGGTGGAGAATATCCATGGAGTTAAGTTTACGGCCATAATAGAAGTCTTTTGTTTTTGAAGATGATCGCAGAATACTAAGCATTTGGATTGGAGCAACAAAAGTAACATTTTACTTATTTTCCGGTCACTCTACAGGACAGGTATTTAGATGGCCATTCGATTATAGTTATCGGGTAAATGATCCACATCTTTTGTTCGATTTTTTTTTTTGAATACCGATATTTCAGGATAATTTCTAAACTCTAACAGCGGTTGTATAAAATATTTTCCGGAATATCTGGAAATTCTATTACAGTCTTAGAAGCGGATTTTTCATATTTTCAGATACTAAATGAGGATTATTTAAAATAATTTTCTGAGGTAATATTTGGGTACTAAAGGTCACTATTTTAATATAGAAAAGATTGAGCCGATTGAAAGTAGTTTGATCTTTACAGCAGATTTCCAGGAGCAATTTTGTTTTGGGGATTTTAAGGGAAAATAAAACAGGCCCTTTCATATACCTCTAAAAATTATTTTTGTTTGGAAGATTTTTTATACGAACTTCTTTCTATAGATCCAAATATAAACCACGGGATTTTGGTGTGGTATACTAAAAACTTTCCAACTTATATTTTTACTTTATAATTGTAATTTTTTCTAACGACAACTTCTTCAGGGAATCAAGCAAAAACATTTAGTTATTTGATTCGACCTGCGCCACAACAGTTAGAGACCATTCGACCCTACCATGACCGGAAATTAATACTTTATAAAAACCTTCAGCCAAGTGATTAGGGAAACCATCCTGACTAAATTGACATTTGTTTAGTGTGTACACCCCCTTGGCCAAGGGTGGATCAAATTTATCCTCAAATACCGGCATATCAGAACATTCACTAAGTGTGTCCATCAGCATATCCTTGTAAAATCCATTGAGGGTTGAAATTAAGTGCTGTCGCGGCATCCTAAATGGTAGCACCTTGTATTCGTTGACTCCATTGTCACTGCGAGCGGCACTAGCCTCAATCTGAAATCGAAAATTCAGAATTTAAAACTAACTTTCAAAAGAGAGTTTTTTGAATAATTTTACATCACAATCCACAGTCTCGTCCACATCGAAATCCAGGGTAAAGGTGCCAGATATGGCATAGACTCCACGAGAAACTCTTTCCACACTCAAATTTAGGCTGAGTAAGTCAGCGTCAGCGGATTCGGATTCCAAAGATTTTATTTCGTATGTCCATGTTTTCTAATACCAAAAAAAAAAACAAAAGAAAAAAAATAAAATAAAAATAAAATAAATAAATAAATAAATAAAAAGATCCATTAAGCTGGAGATGTTATCCTTGAAGGGGTTGGTTAAATATTTACCTCATTGGCTCCTGGAACCATGGCATTAACAAGGACCACAAAGCAATGAAAGCTATATAACGATTTCCATATTCGATTTTTGTTATAACCCAACACCATGATAGCCACTTAATATTTAAACCTTCCTGACCACACTGGCGACACTTCCTACTATTGTCCAGCTCAATAACAGTTTAAGCTTTTTATTTATTTCCCCATTGTTAGAGATTGTTTGAGTGATAACAATTAGAGTCTAGTTAGTAACATGTTTGAGATCACAATCTGTTGCCAGGCATGCAACAGACATGTTCGCATATTCAGTTCACATTTTTGTGAAGCGTTGTATTCAAATAATTTTTTTTTTATCTGAGTTATTGTAATTTTTAATGTGATACCCTACAACACTTCAATATGTTGTAAGGCCCCGTATGTACAAATCCATTTTGGAAGATTTCGTTTTTGAAATGATGTCATAGGGCCCTGCCCATATGGTACCCCTAGATTTTTGACCGGGGGCCTTTGCCCAATTTTTGCGAACTCCGTCGTGTTGTTAGATATTCAAAATAATTTCACACGAAAGTTGTGGTAAATTTTACAGCTACATATAATCCAATGGTGATGCGAAATGCCAGTCCTTAAGTCTAACCTCATGCAATTCCATGGAGATTGGGTTTCAAATCCTGTAGAGCGACTGAAAAATCAGGAGAAATCTAATTTTTAAAATTGCATCTTCAAAAGCAATAGGCTTGAATTCTGATCCTAACCCTACCCACATGCAAAATTTCGTGAAGATCGGACGATAATTGCGACCTATATATAATACCCTGAAAATACATTGTTGCGAGGTGTAGAAAAACTTTAGAAAATGTGCGATTTTCTTAGATTTTATCCTTTTCTGGCAAGAGACCATTCCGGATTTATGAGAATTGTTCAGTGGTTCTTGAGTTATAAGCACACTAATTAAGATATATTTCATATATATTGTACCCATTTTGCTATATATCTCATATCTTGGCTTTCAGCATCACTGTAATGGTCAGAAGCGACATTTTAATGTATTTATTATTTGGCCGGGAGTAAAAATATTCGCAGTATAGTGGAAATTTTCGTATTTTTTGACATAAAAGTTATAATTCATTTTACCCGCTAAACATTGGACGATGACTGTCCAAATTGGTAGGCTTCTGGCCTGCCCAAAATTCTAACTCCATGCAAAATTCCACGTCGATTGAAAAACTGCAACCAACTTCAGACTGCTGTCATTTCTAAGCCACTCGTCCGACAGCTGTTGAAATTATTCCAGTGATCGGTTATTATATTGTTTACAAGCGTACAAAAGCATTTTGGTGAGAATTTTCCAGAAGAAAAGTTATTCGTGATGGACTTCAAGCGTGATAGTGTGATTTTCTTATATTTGGCTGGAAAGCCACAGGTGGCTATCGTTAGAGCACTCCAGCATTTATATGTGAATAAATCTTTTGTGTCTCGTACCATTGCTCGTTACCGTGATACTGGTAGCTTAGCCCGACGTCAAGGAAATGTACGGAAGAAAATAGCAACATCAGCAGAAATGGTTTGAAAAGTAAAGAAACGACTTTTTCGAAACCCGTGTCGCAGTGGTCGAAAAATGGGTCGTGAGTAGAAAATATCGCAATATTCCATTCGGCAAATATTGAAAAATGAGCTCGGGATAAAGCCATTGAAATTCCAAAAAGTGCATGAACTTCCACGGCAGCAGAGGGAAAATAGACTCAAAAGAGCTAAAGAGTTGCTTCGTTTGAAAGAAGGTGATGAACTGCCGAATTTGGTTTTCTCCGATGAGAAAATATTCATTGTCCCGCAGTTTGTAAACAAACAAAATGATCGTGTTTACTTGCCAAAGAGGTCAGCTGAAACTGTGCACCTTCGGTTGGCCACCAGAACTCAAGAGCCGGCCATGGTGATGGTGTGGGCTGCCATAACAGCCGATGGTCGCTCTCGCTCGTTTTAATCGACCGTGGCATCAGAATAAATGCCGAATATTATCGCGAAAATATTGTGGGGGTTGTATTAAAGTGCAGTGCACAATGGCCACCAAAATCTCCGGATACCAATTCGTTGGACTATTGTGTCTGGAGTATTTTAGAAAGCAAAGTTGGCACTAAAATATACCAAAATGTCGATCACCTCAAGCAAGTGCTTCGCGGGAATGGGCCAAAATAACGCACAGCAACATTCGGGTAGTGTGTGACGGTTTCATTGGCCGTTTGAAAGCCATAATTCGTGCCAAAGGTTAGCAATTCGAACATATCTAAACTTATTCTAAAAATTGATGCTATTTCCGACATTTTTTGCTTTCATTCAATAAAAGTAAAAATAAATGTAAAACTTATGGCGTTTGACTGTGTTGCAGTTTTTTTTATCTCACCCTGTATATATACAATGTTCTGCCAAAGGAGGTAGAGCCTGTTACAAACTATAAGTATGAATATTTAACAATTCCGTTTGTAAATGTGGCTTAAATATAAGGTAGGTACAGTTATATGGGGTTATAACCCAGATGAGGTAGAACACTTTAAAATCATAAAATGCTGAATTTTTTTCATCAAAAAGTCGTAAAAATACCGAATATCGAGAAGTACAGTAATATCAGGGCTACCGGAAAATGTGGACGTACATAGATAATATTTTGCCACAAGAGGTAGAACTTATTAGAAAATTTGTGAACCGAATTATATACAATTGCATTTTAAAATGTGTTTCAAATTCCAAAATACCGAATATCGGGAGGTACTGTTATATGGAGGTATATACTTTGTTGGGTCTAACATGAGTATTTCGAGGAGTTACAAACGAAATGGAAAAGTTAATAAACCCTCCATAGAATGCTGGAAAGCATAAAAATACCGAATATAAGGAGGTAACATTGTAAGGCAGAAATACCATAAAAATAAATATAGCCCTGAGGTATCAGATTATACCCTCTCACGAATGGAAGAGAGAATAAAATTAACCTATTACCCACATTATTATGAGGTAGAGGTGCATTGGTTGCACAATTCACAATATTCGGAAAGACCCTATACAGATATTGTATTTTATATGTATAATTGTTACATAATAATACATAGGTTGCGGAATTTCACGCATTCCTTATTTTTGAGTCTTCGATTATAAGTCACAGTTTGCTCTAGAAATGTTGAGGTGATAGTCATCTCCAGTTTAAGTGATGGGGGATCTTAAATACTGCCCTGCCACCAAAAAAACAAAAAGAGTAGAAATTTAGACTGTAAATTAAATTGTTTTTGTCCAGAACTCTCTCTCTCTCTCTCTCTCTCTTTCTTAAAAAAGAAAAGCTCCGAGACATAAAAAGCAAAATTAATTACAAACTTTTTGTGAAACCTTTTAAGAAGCGAAAAAATCGAGTCTTTGTAGAAAAAGCTGTATTTTTTTTTTTCTTTCACCGCGAATTAAAAATTGTTCTCTCTTCTTATATCTTCCAGGTAAAACCACAAAGACAACAAAAAAACAGCGCACCATCAAACGCAATAATAAAAAGCGGATATTTAAGCCATAGTCCACACCGCAAGTTTTTACGTTTAACACATAGTCAGTCACCAACACACTTATACCCCTCAACAGAACAATTTCAACAGCAAAAATGCGTCGCTCATCGTTCACACCGGTTTTCAATATCAGCACACAGGAGCCACTCATTGTGGTCGAAGAGACCAATCCAACAGATGAAGATGGCGCCGACGAGCTGCTCGGCGCCGTGGGTGGAGGTAATGAAAGTTGTACATCGGCAACCGCAAAAAGGACAAACAGCGATGACTCTGATCCAGAATCGCCCAAAAATCCCTATCTGCTGTGTCCGTTGCCTGACATGCAACAAAGACGCAAACACTCATTGCCATCATTGCAAATAACCGAGGGAATAACGGCCAGCCAGGTGAGGCGTTTATCCGATGTGGGTGGCGAAACGGGCGGCCTGAGTCCACACGATGTGGAATTCCTGACCACACTATCACAATCACAAGCTGGACCCTCGGGTGGCGGACGAAGACATTCCGTTGTGACCATATCGGCTGTACCACCCACACTTTTTGGACGTAATCGCCGTGAATCCATATCCGGTGCCCTCTACAGGTAAGCAAAAGTTCAGGGGTTACGATTGTGTGTCTGTGTAATTTTGGTTTTTGTGTGATGGGCTTACAGCCATAGCACTGTGTGTTTAAAAAAAATAGCCAAAAGAATGGATAATGAGTTTTTCCATCGCCATCTGTTGAAATTTTTAGTTTCACGGAAATGCTGTAATGGCTTTTTATTTTCAAATAATCTGAAGAGGGCTCAATATTGAATTTTGTGAATGAGCCACTCTACTGGGTATTGAGTTAGAGTTCAATAAATAAAACATTAGCGTGAAGTGGTTATTGAATTTAATAAAAATCATGGAAATCCAAGTAGGAAATGGCTGGTTCAGTTTCAGTGACGGAGAAGTTGAATTCATTGGAAGATGGCAAGGAAATCAATTTAAGAAATATTGGTTACTATTTGAATGGGTTTTACATTTGAAGGATAGACAACAAATGTCAATTTCGGATTTGTTACACAAATATTGAAGTGGGAGGAATTGTGTCAGTCGTTCATAAAAAGGGCGGATAACTTCGGAATTACACAAATTTCAAATTGTTTATTCTCTCAGAATTGCGACTCAGAATTATTGTCTCACAAATGTCCAGGCGAAGCGTTTTAAGCGGCTATCTCGAAATTTTGGATATGGGTTAACATTGGTGTATGATTTGTGGATAAGGCAGTGACCTGTAAAGCGACTGCAAAATCAGGAAAATTTTAATTATTTGGTCCATATGAATCCCTAAATGTACATCTTCAAACACAATAGACTTTAATTCTGACCTTAACCCTAGCCCCATGCAAAATTTCGTGAGAATCTCACGATAATTGAGACCTGTATATAATACCCTTAACACATAGTGCTGTGGGGTGTAGAAAAACTGTAGAAAATGTACAATCCAAAATTATAAGTCAAATTGAAAAAATCGCATGCGATAAAAAATATGACAAAAATTTAAAAAAAAAATGTAACAAAAATATTTACTTCTTTATTGTCGTATTTTTACGCGATTTTATCTTTTTCCGGCAAGAGACCATTCCGAATTAATGAACATTTTGCAAACCTGTCCAGCTGTTCTTGACTTATAAAGAGAATAAATAGCATCGGAAATAGCATCAAATTTAGGAATAAATTTAGATTTGTTCGAATTGGTCACGTTTGGCACGAATTATGGCCTTCAAACGGTCAATGAAACCGTCACACGCTGCCCGAATGTTGCTCTGCGGTATTTTGGCCCATTCCCGGCGAAGCGCTTGCTTGAGATGTTCGACACTTTGGTATTTTTTTAGTGCCAACCTTGCTTTCCAAAATACTCCAGACATAATAGTCCAACGGATTGGTATCCGGAGATTTTGGTGGCCATTGTGCGCTGGAAATGAACCAAGGAACCTCATTTTGTAATCATTCTTGGCGCATGCTGAGTGCGATGGTGCTGAATCTTGTTGGAATGTCCAAGGTCTGCGGCCAGAATGTTTGCGCGCCCAAGACTTTAAAACACCGTCCAGAATATTTTTTGCGATAATATTCGGCATTTATTCTGAAGCCACGGTCGATTATTACGAGCGGAGAGCGAGCATCGGTGTTTATGGCGGCCCTCACCATCACCATGACCGGCGCTTGAGTTCTGATAGTCGGCCACATTTTGAGCTGACTCTAAACTCTTTGGCAAGTTAACACGATCATTTTGTTTGTTTACAAACTGCTGGACAACTAGTGTTTTCTTATCGGAGAAAACCAAATTCGGCACTTTATCACTTTCGGCGAAGCGAAGCAACTCCTTAGCTCTTTCGAGTCTATTTTCTTTCTGTTGAGGTGTAAGTTCTTGCACTTATTCAATATTTGCCGAATGGCATATTGTGATATGTTCAGCTCACCAGCCATTTTTCGGCCACTACGACGCGGGTTTCGATCAAGTCACCTCTTTACTTTTCGAACCGTTTTTGCTGATGATGCTGTTTTCTTCCGTCCACTTCCTGGACGTCGGGCTACGCTACCAGTATCACGGTAACGTGCGATGGCACGAGACATAAAAGATTTATTCACATTTAAATGCTGGAGTGCTATAACGATAGCCACTTGTGGGTTTCCAGCCAAATATTAAAAAATCACATTATCACGCTTGAATTCCATCACGAATAACTTTTTTCTGGAAAATTCTCACCAAAATGCTTTTGTACGCTTGTTAACAATATAATGAGCTGTCAAGGGAATAATTTTAACAGCTGTCGGACGAGTGGCTTGAATATGACAACAGTCTGAATTTGGTTGCAGTTTTTACATCTCACCCTGTATATATCATCAACCGATTTCGGGTTAAGTGTTCATCAAATGGCAAATGTCAGTTCAAATGACCGGTATTTTGGCACATCTGAATAATATCAGTCTAAAAGCAAGTATATAAAATTTGGTGAAAATCGGTACAGTTATAGCTATAGCTCCCATATATATATTTCATTCGAGATGGTGTCTAAGTCCCTCACATTCATAATATCAATTCGAAAACATTGTTATTTGGAAATACCTTTGGTATATTTTGTCGAGGTCGGCTAAGATTTGGATATAGCTTCCTAATACCCTTAAATTGATTTCAGGTTCAGTGTGCAAATAATAGATAATATCAGCCCAAATGGAGAGAAAATCGGAACGTACGTTTCCATTTTGTGGAACTCGGCTCCGATTGAATTCAATGAATTAAATTAATATTTTTAGATTAATTTCTGAGATTTGTCTAGTATGACACCTTAACTAATATTCTCTAATGAAATTCTTTTATTTATATTATTTGCAGTGGAAGTCGTCGCGGCAGTGGCATTCAAGGACCACCGCTCACAGATCATCGAGGCAGTATTCATAACTTGCAATTGGATCTTATGGATGGTATTTTACACGCCCGTAAGACACGCTCCGGCAGCGGTGTCTGGCAGGCACCAATACTGAAAGAGACCGAAAGTAATGTTCCCGTTCAAACATAAATCAATAGATTGTTCTTCATCTTCAAAATAAAAATCTACACAAGCATAGCCTTCTTAAAACCCCTCAAAAGATTATATTTATTCAATTTGAAATATCTAGTTTTAAAGACTACATTTTTTATTCAATTAACTACGAAATGTTGCTACGAAAATTTGTGTGCCAAATACGGAGAAACAATCAATGCCGTTTTGTTTTGTGCAATAAATTATAATTAACCTCAACAGCAGCAGCAGCAGCAGCGGCAACAACAAGAAAAATAACGAAAACATAAAGCACAACTTAGCCTCATTAAAGAGCACGACTCAACAACTAATGGACGTTAATTTGGTTACAGCAGGAAACAGGAAATTGTCCAACATTCTATCCGCCCTCTTTACTTTGGATATTTTAATTTTTTTTGTGTCATCCTTCTACGGTTAGCCAATGTTAAAACTCAACATTTTTTTACAAAACAGAAGCGGTAAGTGAATTAAATTTATTTTCATCTTATTAATTTAATTTCAATATTTTATGTAGAGGAATTATTTTTATGCTCCTAGATGTTTAATTAAATGTGATTTTTCATAACCTTGTAACTCGGACCATATGACTAGAGAGGGAATATATAATTTAAAACAGCCAAAACGTGCCTCATCGAAGTAATGGTTTTAGACCCTAGGTCTTTTTGGACCAAATCCGTTTCATGGCATTTGGAGTCGATCTAGAGATGTCCGTCCGTCTGTCTTTCTGCTGGCTGGTGCGCAAACTTATATCGAATTCGGAGATGGGCAAAATTGGTATTTTGGTACCTCCCCACAAAAGGTTAATATTTTCAAAAAAAAAAAAAAAAAATATATATATATATATTTTACTGCACTGAAAGAGAATAAATTATGCAATTTTGCTCCAACTTTGCAAATCCTAATATTTGCATCAGAGCTAGGTCAAGTGCAAAAATGGACTACATCGGTCTACTCCGTCAAGTACCTCCCCCACAATGGCTCCAAATGTTGAATAAAGTTTAACTCTTATAAAATGTGAATTAAGAGTCCGTTTGTCTTTAAAGTATACCCATCACAATATTTTTACTAACCTAAGGTCACAAAGGCTCAAAATTTTGAATAACCAAAACGATCATAAAATCCGAAATAAACATTCGCTTTAACACAAGATTTTCTGTAAGGATGGTGTATATCGGTCCATTCCCTCTGGTACCTGGTACAAAGGGTCAAAATTTTGAATACACATGAAGCTCATAAAATGCGAAAGTAACATCCGATTAGATTCGGGCTTGGCACATCTCAATATTTCTTTCAACACAAGATAAAGATGGGAGGGATAGGACCATTTCCCACATATAGGGTTCGAGATTTCGAAAAACCAAATAATCAAAGAAATCGGTTCAGATTTTTATATAGCTCTCATATATATCTTCAAACGATTTCGGGTTAATTGTGCACCATATGGCCAATATCAGTCCAAATGACCTGAATTTTGCCACATCCGACCCTATTCAGTATAGAAGCAAGTATATCGAATTCGGAGAAAATCGGTTCAGATATAGATATAGCTCCCATATATAGATTTCATCCGATTTGGTGTTTAAGTCCCTCACACGCGTGATATGCACTCCACTCGGTTCATATTTGGTACCAGATAACTTATGGAGCTCTAAAATACCTCTGTCAAATTTTATTGAGATCGGATCAGATTAGCATATAGCTCCCATATATATATATTTATTCGATATCAGGTGTATTGTGCACGAAATGGCTAATATCAGCCCAAATGGTCTGAATTTTGGCAATTCCGTCTGTATGCATACAAGAAACAAGCACTTCAAATTTGGTGAAAATCGGTTCAGATATAGCTATAGCTCCCATTTTTATCCGATTTGTTGTTAAAGTCGCTTACAGGGTTAAAATTCAAATATTGCCAAATTTGTGCCAAATGGTGGAGGGTATTCAAAGTTCGGCCCGGTCGAACTTAATGCTTTTTAACTTGTTTGTTTTAAATTCTTATATGATTTAGACAATGCATTTTTTAGTTTTTTTTTTTTGAAATATATTAAAACAAATTCATTAATTAATAAAAAATAAAAAAAAACACGTTTTATCTTCTTTCAGCTCAATAAACCACCTCTACAACCAAACAAAAAAATATTCAGGATATATTTTCGAAAAATCATTGAAAAAGGTTTACATATTGATAATATTGTATTTATTGTTTATGATATTATATTTTAGTATAACAATTTATATGTACTCTTTTTTATAGAATATATGTTTTCGAAAAAACAAATAAAGAAAAGAAACTAGACATAACTATAAATGTATTAGTAAATAAAAACAAAAACAGAAAAAACAATATTTAATAACACGATTTCAGTGTGTAGAAAAATTACAAAAGAAAAACTCAAAAGTTTTGTGAATGTTAAAATTACAATAAAATAAATAAATAAAATTTAAAATGATTCCATTACTAGAGACTAAGTTTATTTTTTAATTAGAACACCTACACACACAAGAGAACAAAAGGCAAAATTACAAAAGGTATTACTGTTAAAAAATTAATATGAAACTAATTATTAAAAATAAATAATTTAAGAGCAATATATTAATTGATAAATTAATAAAAAAAAAACTATTTATATTATTGTTTAATATAACAATTAAATTAAATAAGGAACATTTAAGAATATATTGTGTGTATGTAGCGTTAATGTGAAAATGTAATTTATTTCGAAAACACTTTAAATTCATGTTTAACATAATTTATTTTTAAAACCAATAAAATGCAATTTCCCTCGAGGCTATGAAACTGTCATGAGCAATTAAGAAAAACATTTTATTCAAATATTTTGTGGTTTCAAATTAAAAACCAATAAGTTTTGACGCTGGTTGAGGACAGCATCAATATTGGTATTTATCATAGAATCAATATTACAGATAGAATTTTGACATCATTACTAAGATGTTTGTTATTGAAAGTGTGAATGGCACCACCTTAAATTCGGTACTGTTTTAACTAATTTCGGGTCTCAACATATAATGTATCTTCTACTGCGATTTCTTTCACAAGAGCCCCTCTATTTGTTATATCATGTTATCCTACAAAAGCTGTCGTTGAAGTCTCATCAACGACTGAGATAACCGCAAACGTACTGTTTCGTGCATCTATGCTGTAGTTATCAAGGCTTCTAAGGGTTTCGATTTCCTCGGAAAATATAAAACTATCCTGTAGTCTCATGTAGGTCCACTTTTGTGCATTATTCCCAAATATTGGTACCTGCTAATATCCCTCTTTTCGAAAGTCCCCTTAGGGTGTGCCTATTTTGTTCGACTTCGTTTTGTAAATTATGCCATACACTTCCTCAAAAATGTTACCTTTGGTTATGACCGGTGGCATTTGCCCTTTCGTACCGAGATGTATGGTCATCCAAAATGCTGCCCTATCCTTAATTGTAACCTAATGCGAAATTCTATGTCGATTTGTCTTTAATTGTTAACTGAAGGGCGTTTGCAAAATCGGGAAAATAGGCTTCTATTCTGCCCCTAAATCTATGCAAAATTTCGTAATTTCGATAAGAAGATCCATATAAAACATCATCGGCCTAGGACCAATATTTCGAGATGCTACAAACTTGTTGCTCCATTAAAACTTAAAATACCCCCAACACATAGCGCTGTAGAATACAAATATCGTTTCTATCTTCTTCCATATCTTTTCTATATTCTCTTTGAGAGCCATAGGAATACCTTTTTAAGAGCTATTGGCGGATCTCCGTTTCCTGGGATAAGGAGTATGAAGGAAGTCAGAAATATTTTGGCTCAGAAATTAGGAACTTTGCGAAATTTTTGGTATTAGTCCCACTATTTAGTGAGCGAGCTGACAAGCTGAACCGATTTAGTCTGTCCATTTGAAAAAGCAATCGATCGACCTGACCCACAAGAAATTTAACATGAATCAGAATCGCCGATCCAGATACCCCGATGGAGAATTAGACCCAAAAACGAGGACTCTCGTCCCACATTGGGCGCCATAGTTTTATGTATTATTTGATTTGATTCGATATGAAATACCAGAGAGCAGTCCCTCCAACGATGCAGTCTCGTCAATAGAGCATTAGCTTCCCAACTCAAGAACGTATATTGTGGCCCACGTTGGGCGCCACGTTGTTATAAAAGTAAACTTTTAAGAGTTACAGGGAAGTTTAGCCTAAGGCGCATCATGTAGGCCGCAATTTGACCGGTCTCGAAAATTAAATAAAATGTTCACCGAACTCGATCCAATGATGCGACCAGCCTATAAGCCATTCCAAACTGTGACTTTTTCAGGTGACTTTTTCAGCCGATCTTCATTCGTCTCTGAACACAATTTTTAAACCCTCAGCCATTAGTACGGTCAAAATATGCCTCATCCCAAAAATGGCTTAAGACATCAGGTATCTTTGGACAAAATTCGTATCGGGACATTTGAAGTTGATCTAGGGCTGTCCATCCGTCTGCTTAGCTGGCTGGTGCTCACGATAATCTCGAAGGGAGTATCCGATTTGGGTCAATTTTGTACATCGTAATATTATTGTCAGATCGAGTTCGAAGATGAGCAACATCAGTGCGAACCTTCTGGCGCCTCCAGCATAAAGTTTAAAAATGTTCAAAAGTTTAACTCATAGAAAAGGAAATTATCATTCGATTTTGTGCAAATTTTGCTAATCCCAAAATTTTTATTAGTGCTAGGTCAGGAACGAAAATGGACAATATCGGCCCACTCTCCAAATATCGGCCACACACCGACTTTCTCCACCTGAAAGTGTCAAAATTTGGAATAATTATAGCTACCATAACGCCCAGAGGCGTTTTGATACTGGGTGGGAATGTTGTCGAAAATAGTTTCTTAGATTGAGACTTAGATTTGAAATGGCTAAGTCTCCTTTAGGCCACAAACCGACCATGAAATTCGTGCATATTTTCAAGACATCTGTAATATATAAAATCTTCTCTCGTTTTTTTTTTTTTTTTTATATTTTTCGCTTTTTATGGATTTTTTAATATACACTGGAATCATCAATAAATCCTTGGACTCATATTTTATAAAAGTGAAAAAGAATTGACTTCAGACTCAATTCCGATTTATTGAACTCTCAAGCCCATAAATGCAAAGTCCAAAAGAAAATTATATTTTCGGCTTTTACTAAAAATTACAAAATTTTTTCCCGATTGCTCATGTATGTTTAATACCTTTTTATTGACCAGAAATACAAAAATAAAAACAACTATATACATATTTATACTATACAGAAAAACTATCTACCACAAAAAAAGGAAACAAATCCCAAGTGACAACAATCATTGTAAATTAAAATTAAGTTAGCAACAAAACCAAAGACCTAATGGAACCCCCAGAACCACCAATAAAACTACATCTACAAATCTACTAAAAAAAATACAAAAACAATACAGGGTGTCTAACACATCACAACAAAATAGATCTACTTAAACCCAACTGAAGTCCCACTGATTATTATAAAATAAAAAATTAAAAAAACATAAATGAAGAAAAAAACCATATTTATAGAACATAATTGTATAAAATGATTATAACGAAGAAGAAAATGAACACCAACAACAAATACGTACATAAAACATGCATAAACATATGGTTAACACATATATTAGAAAATGTGTATGTATTTTACTTCTTACACACTCACTCTTACACACATACGCAGATTGAAAGAAATTGAAAGAAAACACAACTATACTCCTCCTCCCCCTCCTCCATGTTTAAATGTTTAGAACAAAAGCCTTAAGTAATAGCAACAATTAAAAACGTAATATGAATAATATGTAACAATATTAATTCCGGAATTTATTTATGTACACAAGATATTGGTAGAAGCATTTCGCATACACATGCACCCATGCCAAAGCAGAATATGAATATGAAATTGAAGGAAGACACTCGCCAGTAGCAGATAATTGTCATTTGAATTTATTTTGGCTTGAGGACATATTTGATTGCAAAATTAATGGAATGCTAATAAAACATTAAGTATCGAAGATATTATTGATAGCAGACACAGTGGGAGGATTTACTGGTGGTTAAATGGTCTGTAGTGGGATTCTCGAAATCATTTTTTGAGTTACCGACAAAAATCGTTAGTAACTTTAAAATCCAAAATGTTGATATAAAAAAATAAGTTTAAGTTGGCAACATTTGTATTTATCGGAAGGTCTTAGCGACTACTTTGATTTCGTCACTAACTTATCGACAAATTTCATTAATTATCGTAATTATAATTATTTAAATTTTGCCTACTTTTATCGGAAACTTATAAATGAGTTAGAGAAACATAGTGTATTTTGTATACCCTACACCACACCACCTACGTGTATTATGTCTTTGTGTATTTGTTTGTAACAGGGAGAAAGAAGCGAGATAGATAGTTACTTTTGAGGATCTTCATAGAATCACTTTTTCAGTCTATTTATGCATGTCAGCCGTCCATTCGTCCATGTATTCTTGAGAAAAAATGCAGGTCGCATTTATTATCCGATTGAGATGAAATTTTGCAAACAATATTTGTTTGACCCAAGGACGAACCCTATTGAAATTGGTGGTAATCGGATCAGATTTAGATATAGCTCACATATATCTTTAACCGATTTCGGCTTAATTGTGCACCAAATGGCGAATATAAGTCTTAGTGACCTGAATTTTGCTACATCTGACCGAATTCAGTCTAGAAGCAAGTACATCAAATTTGGAGCAAATCAGTCCAGATATAGCTATAGCTCCTATATATATGTTTCATCCGATTTGGGGTTTTAAGTCCCTCAGATGCGTAATATGCACTCCACAAGATTGATATTCGGTACCGAATATCAGACACAGCTCTGAAATAAGTGTAACAAATTTTGTTAAGATCGGCTCAGATTTGGATATAGCTCCCATATATATCTTCTAAGGAATTCGGGTTAATTGTGCACCAAATAGACAATATCAGTCCAAATGACCTGAATTTTGGCATATCCGACCAAGTACATCAAATTTGGTGAAAATCAGTTCAAATATAGCTATAGGTTCAGATAGAGCTATATCTCTCATATATATGTTTCATCCGATTTGTTTTTTAAGTCTCTCACATTCGTAATATGCATTCGACAACAGTGATATTTGGTACCAGATATCTTATAGAACTCCGAAATACCTCTGCCAAATTTTATCAAGATTTAATCTGATTT